ACTCCTCGCTCGACTCGGGATGTGAGCCCATACCCCTCACATTTAACTTACATATGTTTTCAGTTGCTTCTTTGTAATAAATATAATCCTTCTTTGTTCTATCTTGTATTTTGCTAACCACAGGATCGTGACATTCAAAGAGAGGCGCCTCTAGTTAAGTTGAGTGAAACAGATGCCATAATCATCTCTTCCTTATCATCTCAGCACCATATTTCAATCTAATTACTGCCCATTATCGAATTATCGTTAAAATAATGTATAAGTACTGAGCAAGAAAAAAGCTAATAAACAAGTCTATTTTCCTTAGCTTTGATGAAAGCAACAAGATTTGAAACACTATCAAATAGAAGGTCGACAGCAAAGTCATCGAAATTCGTATAAGCAAAGATTTTGTGGTTAAATAAACAATTAGAACTGCTAAACTAGAAATTTATACAAAAATATGATTTCGTTTTAGCGGTCGGATTCAAATTAAAAGGATTGATGACGCTGCCCTATCAGTTTGCTTTTTGTGAAGACGACGAGCGGAGGTTAAGCGCCTATCCTTGGGCAGCGCCGACAATGCAGGATGCGCAAGCAAATTTTGAAGAATACGTTGCGGATGCGGTGAGTTTTATACTCCGACAAAATGACAAGCCTGTGAATGTATTATACTTCAGGCAAAAAAAGTTGTTGTGGATAGAGGTATAGCAAACGTTTCCAATGACACTACTTTGCAACTGATGTATTCTCCCATAAAGTCAGAATGTTCGCTATTTTGACGACTTCTCATTTTTGAGCTACTTTTTTCAGCTGCTGCTTTAATGATAACTACTACTGCCGCAAAGGCAGAAAACTTCGTCAAATATACGACAATACTATGTTGAAGAACATTTCCGTAGGAGATATCATTGGAATTATCACAGTAAATGTACTTTTTATTTCTATTTTTGATTTTAGTAATGCAAGAATCTGTCCATTTATGTTCGTGAATGATCAATAACATATGCATTTACGAGGCTGTCGGGCAAGCCTTCATATCTTTGAAAGAAACTCTCGTTCGAAAGTGCTCTTGTTAGTCCAACATAATGTAATTTAGCCAATCTAGCGGTCCTTGAAACCCTGCTAGTCGGGAAAGTCGAAGTCTCTTTCTCCTTTTGTTATCACGCGCTCCTGT